ACGAGTCATTTAAGCTTGACTGTGACTAATTTATCCAGCAAATCAGTCACTCTACTGTCCTTGTTAAATTCCAGCCCTTCAACTCTGGGCATTAAAGTTTTCCTGAGCTGTCTATTAGGATGTGTGTTCTAAAGCTAGTTGCTCTTATTTGATTCTTATGAGGTCTAGATCTTCCAAAAATTTCTCAAATTGTTTTGTTTACTGATTGCAGCTTTCACTCCTTTGTGGTGCTCTTATCGAGTTATTCTAATTTAGACTTTTACATTTTGATTTCGAACTACAACTCACAATAGAAATGGAAAAACAAGTAAATATAAAATATATAGATGTTAATTCAGGAAAAAATAGCAAAGCAGAAAGTCATCTCAGATAAAAAGATTAAATTAGAGTACACCTAAGGGAGAAGAGATATCAGATAAGAGGAGTGGGGAGAAACAAGAATTGACAAGGATAAGGAAGAGAGTAATAGAAATAGAAGAAAGACAAAATAGAATCCCTAAATAACAAAAAGTAAGCAGTGAAGAGAACTAATATTTAAAACTGCTCTCTGTCACCATACACCAGAATTAACTCAAAATGGATCAAAGACCTAAATGTAATATATGAAACAATAAGTTGCATAGGAGGAAACATTGCTACTAAACTCATGGACCTTGGTTTTAGAGTGGATTTTCTGAATTTGACTTCAAAGGCAAGGGAAGTAAAAGCAAAAATAATGAATGGAACTATATCAAAATAAAACTTCTGCACAGCAAAAGAAATCATCACCAAACAGGCAACCTTTTGAATAGGAGAAGATATTTTCAAACAATACCTCCAATAAGTGGCTAATATCTAAAATATACAAAGAACTCATACAAGTCAACAATAAAAATACAAACAATCCAATTTAAAAATGAGCAGAAGACCTTAACAGACACTTCTCCCGAGGAGACATACAACGGCCAACGGACATACGAAAAAATGCTCAACTTCACTAGCTATTAAAGAAATGGAAATCAAAACCACCTCACACCTGTTAGAATGGCTGTCATCAACAGGACAAGTAATAACAAGTATTACGTGATGGGGAAAGAGGAATATAAATTGATAAAGCCACTATGGAAAATGGTATGGTGGTTCCTCGAAAAACTAAAAATAGAATTATTACCATCTAACCCAGCAATCCCTCTTCTGTGTATCCACTCCTAAAATTTGAAAACATTTATCTGTAAACATATGTGCACCCTGATGTTCATTGCAGCACTGTTCATGATGACCAAGACATGGAAACAACCAATGTGTCCTTTAATAGATGATTGGTTAAAGAAGATGTGGTACCTATATACAATGGAATATTACTTAGCCATAAGAAAAGATTAAATACTGCCATTTCTGACAACATGGATGGATCTTGAGATAATCATATTAAGCAAAATAAGGCAGAAAAAGTTGAGAACCATATGATTTTACTCATAAGTGGGATATAAAACTGAAAGCAACAAACAAGACAAACAACAAAAACTCAAACACAGACAACAATTTAGTGGTTACCAGAAGGAAAGTGGGAGGTGGGGAGGTAGATAAGGGTAAAAAGGATCAAATATATGGTGACAGAAAGAGACTTGACTTTGGGTAGTTAACACAATGCAACATGTTGATGATGTATTAATGAACTGTAAAATTGAAAACTATATAATTTTATTAACCAATGTCACTCCAATAAATTTAATTTTAAAAATAATAAAATAAAACTGTAATTCAAGGAAACTTCCCATCAAGAAAAGAAAATCTGAATCTGCATATTGAAAAGGCTTTTTGTGCCAGAGGGAACTGACCCAGAATGATTTAAAAAAAAAAAAATTTTTTTTTAAAGTTCTCTGAGTCTCAAGGGAAAAAGTCTAAGTCATTTGGGAAGGAAAGAAAATAAAATTGACATGATTTTTGTTAGCATCATATAAATATATAAAACAGTTAGAACAGTGTTTTCAAGGATAAAAGTGTGAACCAAGAATTTTATCTAGCCAAGGTGTTCTTCAAGTGAACTTCGGATTCTATAGAATATAAAAAATCAATTATTAGAGAAAAATTCATAGCCTTAAATAATTCTGTCAAGAAAAATAGAAGAATGAAAAGAATTAGCATTATGGCTCTAGCCATTACCAAACCACATAGACACTGTGGGAGTTACATTCCCCTTTCTCCCAGTAGTTATTAATTTCCAATTATTTACAAAGTTATATTATGCTTTTCCCTCACTGCTGCAACTTTAATATAAATGTTTATTTCTTACATAAATGTCTTAATTTTCTAACACTCCATCTTTCTGATGTTCCATTTGCCTCTTGTACTTTAATTTTCTTCTAAGCTACCAATCTACTCATATAACTCTAGTGCTTACATCTATCTCTTCAGTGGCTCCCTATTATCTGTATTTGCATCTACAAAATGAAAGGGTGAACATCCCCAAAATGTATAAGATAGTCCACATAATTTGAAATAGCAGAATTATTGATACACATTTTTCTGTTATATAAATACTAAAATAAAACTTGTAAATTTTTAATAAACAGACTGAGATGTCAATAATATTAATAAGAAGACATCTATTAAGTAGGCATGCAAAATATATTTTAATGGCCCAAAAGACAAATTCAGAATTACTCCAAGTTTTGTAACCTGACTTGACTATCACCTAACTAATCTTGGTCCTACACTCTGTTCTCATATCATACTGTTTTATTTGTAGTTTCCTCAACTTGTAATATGTGATGCATCCATGCCTTTGCCAATTCTGTATTTGTAATTCGTAAAGTTTACGTTAGTCAGTTTGACCACCTAATAAAATCTAACTTGATAATACAAAATACAAACAGCTATCCCCACTTGGGACCATCTTATATTTTACACATACTTCTGCCTTAACACTTGCTATGTTTATTGCATTTAAGAATTTACATCTTTGCCTCCCTGTCAGAATGTAAGCTCCTTGATAACAAGAATAGTTTCTTTCATTCATCTTTGTAGCTCCAGCAGAGTTCCAGGCATGGGGTGATAGTTCAGTAAATATATATTGAACAAGTATTTTATATATAAAGCAGGGTACAGAGTAGCGGTGTATCTTAACATTCCAAAGTAAATTCTATACTTAGCACATTGAGA